CAATTTTTGCGAATAAAGGCATAATTTAATAATGATGTTTATCTACAACTATTGAATTATCTATTCGTTATACAATTGATTTTTGACGGGTAATGACACTCATTACCCATGACAGACAAAGTGTTGAATAATGAGGCCATTATTCCACACTTCTGACACTGCCTACTAATCAAAAAATAAAAGATTAACAGAAATGACAGCTTTCTTATATTGAGGTTATGTCTGAAATGTCTATCAAGTTTATTTTTTTTTCGTTTTTTTGATTTTTTTTTCAAAATTAAATAGTTGTAGATAAAGTATAGTATTCAACTTGCGTATAATGGATGTTACCCACTCAGATTACAACACTCGCTCGCTTCGCTCGCTCGTGTTGCAACTTCTTCTTCGTGGGTAACAGCCGCCATTATACGCTTGTTGAATAATATACTATTGACGTGAGGCTTACTTTATACTAATGGTTCGAATCATATTATACCCATTTGTGTAAAACTTTTTATAATTGTGTGATGTACCTATCTCTTTCCAATTATCCAGTGATAAGTTGTTCATTATGTAGGTACGTAGCAAATCAATACCTGCAAAAGTAGCAATAGAGAAGAAAATTTTCTGTAAAAAGCGCAATGAGTTCATATATTCATGATCCTTTTAAATTTCATTACCACCTAGAAAATAACATAGCAAGTTATTGGAAATGCATTCAATCATGCGTTGTTAAACCTTTCAACTATTTTATATTTAGTGATCAAATGCTTGCTGACAAATCACAAACAATTTTGACATATAGCAAATTTTGAGGTTGAGAACACTAAATACATGCTTTATACATCTGGATCAGTTTCTGACAATCTAGTTTTCCCTTTATGCATAATAAACAAAAAGCGTGTCGATTAAAGTCAGTCTTGCATGGAGTCTGTTTATTAAAGACTCACTACCTATTTTTTTTCTGGTCACCCAAAACCAATTTATTATCATTACCCTCATCCTTGCTGTCTGTCATAATCTACAAATATCTCTACAAATTTTCGTGATTGATGTTTGACTATGATTTTGCAGATTGAGACATGGAGTGAGAAAAGATTTTAAATCAAAGTTTAGCCAACGTAATTTTGACTTACAACAACTCATAAACAAGGTTGAGACTTATTTTGGAGTTACTTGCTTTCCCTTCTTTTTTGAATTTGGCATGTGACTCAAAAAGAATGCAACAATTGCCAAATTCCTATAACTACTAGTCGTAATTTTGATCATTTCTTAATATGCAGAATGAATAAACATAATAATCACTTAATATAAAAATATGCAAATTGTTCTAAAACTAATGTTACTTTATGTTTCGTACCCGCGGTACTGGCATATTTAGGCTTTTTATCTCTACATGTCTTCTTGAAATGGAATTAACCAGCAAATAGTCACCAACATATGGCAGCAAATTTTAGTCAGTGGTTGCACTATCACTTATTCTTTTTAGTTTACTTTTGCCAATAATAAGCCATGATATATGATCGCCAAAGATTTATAGAAAAATTCCAGAAAATTCCAGGATTCTAAAAATTACAATATATATCACCTGCATGTATACCATATGTTTTAGGGAGTAACTTTTTTAGTAAATACATACAATTCTCATGTGATGCTGATTTATAGCTTACATAGCATTACACAATACATTTCTCTACTCATTTTGCACGATATATCTCTCGAAAAATTGATCGCAATAAATACATATGATCAATTTTATGTTTCACAAGTTTTATAACGACTTTTAATGACATATGTACGGAAAATCAGATATTTACAGAAATATGCAACGAAACACATTAACTGCACGTTATTGTGATCTTGAACATTTTTATCACGTGATTGTATGAAATTGTTAGTCAGTCTTTAGAACTTCTACAAAAACCAAAATTCTTTCATTTCGCGATTGAATCCTTATTTAGCCGGATAAATTACAGCCAAGGTCGTACGCGGCCAAGATGCTACAACGGAGAAAAAACCTCTTATTGAGCCTAATACACAAATTAATTTAATTTTTGATTTTTTTAATTTGATTTATAGTGTCCGATCGAATACAATTTTGTGTTTGTTATAATTATACTATACTTACATAACATTCAAGTATTTTAGGAGATCAAAAAAGAATGAATTCATGTATAGATGTATTTTTTTTTTTAATTTTTGGGTTTTGGTGAAGGAGACCTTATCTCTCATAGCTTCTTTGTCTGCCATTTTATCATCATCGGATTAATCACCTAAAAATTAATTAAATTATCAGTATCAGCCGCAAAATTCTTCTTAGGATTCTTTATCATCCTTCAACGCAATAAAATCTGGCGAGCTTCTCTTATGTCAATCACGATTAGTGTTTTTCTATTGATTTATTATGATCGGCTTTCTTGATATCTCCTTCAATAACTTGTCTAATAGATTTCTCTCATATTTTTATTTCAGGTTTAGTCTGGGCATGTATTTGTTTTGGTGATTTTGAGTATGGTTGGTTTTCTTAAGATGAATTTACTTTTTCCGACTTTTACCTTGCTGGGATTTTTCTTTGGTTACTTTAACCTTCCTTCTTTGCAAACATTTCTTCACCACCTATCATCTGTAGCTATTACTTTCGTTCCATAACATTTATGGCTGCACCTACAATTCTTTACACTTTTACCAGTTTTAAGAGATAATTTCTCAATTTGTCTTTCAGAACCAATCGTCTTTAAGGTTTTTATAGTGTTATACTTCACCACTTCATGATTTTATGCCGGTCTCTAGTTATTGACCTTCATTCTCACTGGAAACATCCTTTGTTTTTAATTTTTATTTAGTCTTTTTATGTGTCCTTATTACATCTCGCTGATGTCTTGATCGTCTTTACTTCCGGTTGCTTAACTTACCAAGCACGTTATTATACACGGGATTTTTCTCATCCTAGACTTCATCAACTTTTTTTCATAACTTTTTATGATTTTGGTACCATTTCGGGTTTTGGCTCCTTTTCATTCTTAACTTTGCTGTCTTTATCGTAATCGGCTAGCGCTCGGTGCTTTCTTTTCCATTCATTTTAGGTATCTTTGAGGTATTTTTTTGCGAATCAAACTTTTTTTTAATTTCCAGGTCTCTTTTCTTGTTTCTAGATATTTAAGATACAAATCGATATCTCGTTTTTAGCTTTTTATAAAAACACAACCACGTAGTGCACGTTGAGTTTCTTCCTCCTGAATCTCATCAGGTGCTGCTCTTCGTGAACCTGGTTTTGAAATTTCGTTTTGAAACAGTTTTCTTCTTCCTCTTTTTTTGTTGTTTCACCACCACATAGTGGCTCGCTTTCTGTCTTCTTTTAGATCTCTTAAAATCTGGTTCTCTTGGTTCCCCGATCTCACTTTCAGATATCTAAGACAATATCTAAGCCGGTATGGGCATGAACTTTGAGATATTGGAGTTAATGGTATTTTTTGAACTATTGGCAAATGAATATATAAATATGTTGAAAAGTAAGCTATTATGAAAAGATATATCATCAAATGATAACCTAAGCAGCACCCAGCCTTTAAGATTTATAACTTCAAATTGGTATGAACGTTGATGTTAAGAGATTGCATGACCTTAAGTGTTGATTCGTCTTCCTTGGCCAAAGATTTTCTATTTGAAAAGACCATAAAAGATACTTTTTTTAATATGCATTGCGTGACAAGTGAGAATTAAAAAAATTCAGAACAGACGAAGAAGAATGAACGTGGCGAAGAATTTTAATGTTGACATTAAAATATTATATGTTCCAAATATCTCAGTCTCAATACTTCTTAGATTTCTTCCTCAGTAATTTTGCTGCATTTTGCCATTTTAATGGTGTTCTGTTAAGTTGATCGCAAAAGTTATTACTTCATACGCTTCTATAAAGAAAAATATGTTTTCCAGTTGCTATTTAACAGGAGTCATCACATTTATTTCAAAACAGTAAAAAGTTCTGAAGATGGCATGTTTTGGCATAAATGTGGGAGTATTAAGTATCAGTACGCGTCTTTTCTGACTTCAATTTTTATCTTCGCCTCAATTGGGTTCGCTGTTTCGATGAATGCCTTCTCTTTATGATAAGCTTTCTCAGGTCTTTTAAATTCTGGATGTTTACGATACCACCAATTTACTCTGTTTAATTAAAGTTCTTATTCTATGGATCGTGATAACTACCGCTTATGTGTGCTGGAAGTCCTATGCGAACATACCCAAGGCTTACCATTAAGTTCAAAACGAGATGAATAAGCTTAATTTTCCTAAAAAATAATACAGGCATAAGAAATGTATTCGGGCCTAACAAAAGCCAAAAAATTGTTCCAATCAATGTTCATTATCCACTAATGTTGCAGTCATAGTGCCAAAAAGTGTTAAGACGTTAAGACATTATCACTGGTGATCTTCTTAAACATTAGAATATTTTGCAAAATTCTATTTAACAAATTTAAATCGAAGTTAAAAAAAATAAATCTATTCGATCGGACATTTATTATGTTGTAAAATTTTTATTATTTTAATTTGGTTTATTTACATTTTTATTTTTTTTTTAATTCCAGCGAAGAAACGGATTCGATAGGCGCCAATAACAGTCAAAATCAAAATGTATTGCAACTTCCTCCAAAAACCCCAAATATGTCTTAATTTGTTCATTTAACAATTTTATTTTTTTTGTTATTATTAAAATACTCAATAAAAAAAAATACTAATTATATCCTTAATTTACTTTAAAACATTTTTTTTTAGATTCTCGTTTCGATTCTATTTTTCACCTTGAAGTCTTGCACGCAACATATTTTATAACGAGTTTTTCTCGTCACCAGCAAAAAATATGCTGTATACAACAACACTCGCCTCTCACAACTTCACCGTATATTTTTGTTTTGTTATAAAAAAACTCTCAACTCGAGATTCGAACAAACACAACATCAAAAACACCAAACGCACTCGAATTGAATTTAAAAAAAAATCCGAACTGAGTACGTATTATGTTCCAGGAGTATGTTGAACTGCGTTAACGCTTTGGAGCAACACCTACCCGTTACGGAACAAGCGGGATTGGTCGTCGCTGAAGAAAAAACACAACAAGATTCGTGTAAGAAATTGAAAAATAAAATTGAAATTAAATTACAAATTTTTTCGTAGAACATAAACGAAAAAAAAAAGGAAATCTGCATGAATTAGGCACATTTCTGTGTAATTTTTGTATTGGTATGAATGATGAAAGAGATATTTGTCGTTTAAAATTCTTTTTTGATTGAAATTTTTTTTGATCGAAATTATTTTTATTTGAACTTTTTTTTGGTCGACTTTTTGTGTCGAAATATTTAGAGCATAAAAGCGTATGTGAATGATCGTTGTACGTGTTTGAAATTTTTTTTAAAGTGATCGTTTTGTCGTAACTATTTAGTTCCCAATCCGTTCGAGAGGCACTCTTACAAAGCCGTTTACAACTATCGGAGGCATTCTGCGTATGCCAGCGTTTCAGGTACTGCTGACAAAGTGCAATGTAAAAAATCCTGCACTATTTTCCAACAATTCGGATATTTCGTCACCAACGAAGTAAATACACCAATGAAAATTTACACATTTTATTTTTGCACCTCAAAATGTTTTCTCAAACAAATAAAACTTTAACTCAAACCAATCTTTTATCTCTAGACGCAAACTAAAGGTTTTCTTGAAAATTACTACTTTAAAGAGTAGTTTTACCAATTTGGAAAACCCCGCAGAGAAAACATTTCGTATTCGAGTCGACACGCCACCACCACACCCCCTCTCTCGCACGAGAGACACGCGCGGCCCCAAAATTTGCGTTTGGGGGCGAATTCCGTTCCGCGAAAAGAAGTGCTCCCAGTCATTTGCAGCGATTTTAGCAGCAGCATGCATTTTCACACTGCTTCGGTTTCTGTTTGCATGTCCCATTGGTCACGAACGCCACTGGTACGTACGTTCGCATGTCAACCAGAAAAGGCTGCAGAATTTTAATTTACCTCTGTTTCTCTTCTTCCTTTCCCTTCTTCATTTTAAAATATCGAGGTTTTGTATTATTTGATACCAACATTGTAATTTAATTAAAATTAATTTATAAATTTATTAAAAACAAGATTAAGGATGATATATTTTTGATTAAAAAAACAACATTCATCTTTCAGATGTAAATTCTTGTATTGATTATCACCAAAGTTTTCGATTTCCAATATTGGACAGATTAGGGACGGTATATTTTTGATTAAAAAAAACAAAATTCACCTCTCAGATGTAAATTCTTGTATTGATTATCACCAAAGATTTCGATTAACAATATTGGACAGAATAAACAATAAAATAAATAACCGAAATTTAAAGATAATATCTCGACAGCACGATATTATTCAAATTTCTGTATAAAACCATTCTTATTATTATTCTACTGGTATTCCTGATACCAACGATGTCGATTATCATTATCTTACTGTCGATAACCAACAGTCACGTATTGTGTCGTCAATAATGCAGAATGATTTAAAATTAACTAAATGTTCCCCTCTCAGTCTGACGATGAATTGAGTGGCCTGAAGTGCCGAAAAGGCAGAAGGGGAAGTTCGTAAAGAATAAATGCTCATTTTCTTTCGTCAATTCGTCGAACTCAAATTCTTTTTTTATCAATATATCACTCAAAAAAGGTGCTACTGAAACATAATAAAGCATATTGATTTCAATAAGACTATCATTAGAACAAAAATGTGGGGATTTTTCGAATTACAATGTGTCACACTAAGCACTAAGCTAATTGTTTTGGTTGATACACTTTAGATTAAAGGAAGAGTAACTTCCTAAAGTGCAAACCAATATTCAAGATTAAAAAAGATAATGTTGTATTTCGAATTGGTGAAGAAAATAAGATACAGATAATTGCTCAAGATATCTTCGAAGTTCTGTATACAATTCGCCAACTGTCTTAGTGTCAAAGCTTTATCTAGGACTCGAAGAGAGTAATAAAACTGCTTTTGTATTGATAATTAGAAGCTATGCCAAAATTAATGTTAAATTCAATGTGGTAATTTTATTATCTATAATTACAAATAGATTCCTTTGTTATCCACATTATTGAAACCTACAACAACCATAGTAAATTGTTGCTCTGTAAACCGGATATTTCTAGACAAACTCTAGCCCAAGTTATTAAAATTATTAAATCCGATGATTGAGAAGATCTATTATTATACATTATTATATATTTATTATTATTATAGATTATTTTATTAGATTGACACTAAATTAACTAGCAGCTCAGTAATTCCCATAATCAAAAGTCAACCACCTCGTTTATGAGAAACTTGATTGATGACGTGATATTTCGATTCTGTCGAATATGAAACATTATTAAGTAATCAAGAGCATTACGGTCTACCAACTAACGATGTAATGAAGTGCAATGTGTTCAATGACGAGGTAGAATTTCAGAAGTTTAATGTTTTTTATTATTTATATCAATGACTATGCTAAAATATCGATTAAAGGCAACACTGAAGACGGAAATAATTATATAAGTAGCTATGGAATAGTTTGGAGCTAACAACTTGAAGCTGAATGTTGGTAAGATATAAAATTTCTATTTAACTTGGCAAATAACACCGTTATTATTTTGAAATTTAATAAATATTCTCTTCATTACTTTTGAAGAACAACTTATTAACTTAATATCTTCTAAAAATCTTCTGATGTTCAAATTGCCTCCGAATCGAGGAAAATGTACGTTCAAATTACTTAAGTTACTTAGTTATTACATAATTAGTCTTGACGACTTAAAACCAAACCCAACATAAATGTAAATGCCATTATCACTAAGATACCAAAATAGAAGAATCTCTTGAGAAGGTCTTAACATCTCTTCAAAACAATTCCTTGGTTTTGTAAAATCAGCATTGAGTGTGTTGGTGTTATGAAAACTTTTCATGAAACTAACAAAGAAGAATTGGAAATCTACACTGAATGGAGTTTTTGACAAATTATAGACCTTATCGGCAGTGATGGATGCAGAATTATACATACAGCGATTACAAAAATTAGTTTCAGAAGAACTAAGTTAATAGAATATGAAAGTGTCAAATGCAGATCGGCAATCTGTCTTATTACAAATATAGCGTCTATCGTTGACCTACTTTTTCTAAAGCATTGCTACTCCTCACAGATGCCGGAAGCGGAAATTTCTTCTTCGAGAATCTTTGTAATTCCACGATAGTTCTCAAGACGTTTCTTGCACCCCTTTTTGAATGGAGGTACTGTTATGCTTTCTTTCATTCGGCTTGCATACTTTTTGTTTGTATTATTTTACACTGTTGATGTATGATTTCGGTAATATACTCTGTATCTGGTCTTTACTTGCTTTTCCACGATAAACGTTCTGTTATTTTGCTATGATGGTTTATGAACCTTCGTATTACAATTCTATATCCAGTCTAATTAATACAATTCTATGCCTAAATAGCCAGATCTTTGATGACGAAGAATTCTTTACTACGATATCCGTCAAATATTTCTTTATTTGTGATTACTTTTCGCAATGATAGGAATCTTATACTTGATCTTACAATTAGACATAGTCTTGGTATATTTGATTTATTTCTGTGGCAACGCATCATTGAGAAATTGATTTATGGAACTTCTGCACGATATTCGTTGGCAATTAAATGTTGTTTGGAAATGTTTAATCCACAGCATGAAGCTTCATAACATTTCTATAATGTTATGATTGAATTTGTTTTCCATGAACTGGATACATAGAAAAATCCATTGAGCAATCAAAAATTTTGATACAAACATACATTAATTTAAGGTTGCCTAATAATCTGAATAAGAAGGTGATTCTGCGGTAGACTCCACATGCTTTTAATTCTATGAATGAAATTTATGGCAGTCGATTTTCCCATGTTACAGTTTTTTTTACATTTCAATATATTACTAAAATCACAACAAAGTATTAAGAATAAGACTACCTGCAAGAACAAACCAAATTGGCAAAATAAATCAATGACCGTCAGTGTGAAATACAGCAAAATAATTCCGAGCGGTGCAGATTATGTTTGCAAGACTCATACAGAATTGTAAATGAACACGATGACACCTGTCTTGTGAATGAAAGTATGAAAAATGTACAATTCTCGAGCGAAGAAAACCTAAACTTAGGCATTGCTTTTTAGAAATATTTTTCCAGTATAACATTGGGTCTAGAAGTTTTATGTCTTTCCAAAGTATCTACAATTTTCGATTAACATCAAAACTAAATGCCGAGTCAATGAATTCTTCCATATCAATTGAGAAGTTCAAATGAGATAGTTGAACTAAAATTACAACTAAAACTAGAACTAACACTAGAAACTTTCGGGTTTTGTGGTTAAGTGACTTCGAACCAGTTTCTGAAGAAGGTTGCAACATGGCATCCGAAACGTCAAACCTTTTCTTAAAAGATGCACGGCAAAACCCGACAGTTTCTAATGTTACTTCTAGTTTTAGTTACTTCTATATTGGCGTTTTAATAAGAAAATAGAACGTGTACAATGATTAACATGGTTCAGTACTGGTTACAACTTTGGTCTCCTTCGCACATAAACCGTGCACAACTTGTATACTTGTTTACCGTGTTGCAACGGATTCCTTTCTTTGAGTATTTGCCCAAATAGAAAAGCAAATTTATAATACTTGTACATTCAATAACATACATCAATATTATTTTTAGTATTAGATAGGCTATGTGAGATACAAAATGTGGGGAAGACTCCAGAATCTTGGCATTGTCATTTGCAACCCTCCAAGCGAATAACCTTTCAATACTGCAAAAATGGCACTTCTGTCGCTAAGACCATCTACAAGAAAGGACAAAAAATAAATTAACAAATTAAATTAAAATTGATGAGTAGAAGCGTGAGAAGCTGAGTCATCATTTACAGCAGGTTATTCTGCACAGTTTGAAACTAGTTAGAACGTTGTAGGTTCAATAGTTTCCATTTCATTGATATTTTTTATATGAAACAACGACGGAAACCTTAACTTTATACTATATGGGCGAAATAAAGTGCTTACATAAGCATTTCAAAGCGAAAAAGATGATCGGATGTAATAATGGACCTAATGGAGTAAAGCTTCCCAATGGTTACGTGAAGATTCACATCCAAAAATTTGTTTAGCTAAATTATTCAGCAAAAGTAGAAAATCAAAACCTTGCAGTTCCCCTCCAAAATTAAGCATTTTAGACGAAAACTGACAAAAACTTCTGATCTATTAGCTTTTCAATGACATATCGAAGAATGTTAGCAGTTTTAATACCATCTCCAAAGTATATATGAAGATTGTGACGTTTATTTTAAATAAATTGCACTGTAATTTCTCTTTAATATACGCAAAAATATTCCCACAATACTTTGTGCATGGAATAATAGAGTACGACCTCACTTAATTGCCTTAATCAGTGGCAATTAAGTGAAACAAGAATGCTGTGTTATGGTAGTGTTGATCATGGAAAGTGGATGTAATTCAACATCACATCATGAAAGCTAGTATACGCTTTCATGATAACTTTGAAGAAGGGATGCGTAAACACATTATTACCTATAAACGGAGACAAAATTCAATTTTGTTAAACTAACAAGAGTTTATTAGTGTGGTAACTGCTATTTGAAGCAATCTGGTGTAGGAATTGATTAATAGCCAGATTTCATTTTCCGACTCATTTTACAAGAAGAAAGAGATTTGATACAAAACCAGATATATCTCTGTCCAATATTTTTTAAAACAGTAATTATATCAACAGTACCAAGTACCATATCACAATATCGATAACAAACTCTAAAGCATTATCCATATCGAAAGAGTCGACAAGATGCAATGTGGCTATATACATATAATAAACCGGTGGAGCAAATCATGAGTTTTAGTAGAAATATAATATGGCGAAACAAACACATACAAAGTAAAATCCGCATATACAAGACCTGCGTAAGACTTGTTATGACTTATGCTGTAGAAACAAGAGCTGAGAACTCTACAACAAAAAGAATCATTCGAACAGCAGAGATGAGGACCCTACGATCCATAGCAGGCTACACCCTGAGGAACCATAAGAGAAGCGAACACATCAGAGAACTCTGCGGTGTCCAAGATATAGTCCGAAGGTCCCGAACCTGACGTTGTGCATGAAGGAACCATGTTGAGCGGATGGATGACAATAGATTGCAGAAAATTGCAAGGGATGCTATCCCAAGATCAAACAGACTTTCTAGACGCCCGCCCACAAGGTGGTATGAAAGCTGAAATTCATCATCAAGCAAAGGCCTTAAAAAGAGGAAGAAGAAGAATTATATCAAAATTTGTTTGTTGTTTTAATGATTGCAATTAAGTTGTGATATATTTTAAAAATTGTGAAAAATTGATTTCTTGGAAAATTATTATGGAACTTCCACAAAATCTAAAGAATAAAGTCAAAGTAGGGAACAAATCAAACCAAAACTAACCACAACAAGTTATTCTGGTCAGAATAAATTATTTATTAGTAGATACTATTAACTCTACTTAATATTTCTAGATATAAAACCTCGGTATTTAAATACATGCTTAAAACAAAACTAATAAATTTGCATGAAAAATGCATGAATTAAATTGAAGTTTTATAAATTGCACAAAAAAAAATTTTTTTTTTGAATTCTACATTTTGTGTATTGATCGTAAAAGTTTGGATTTTGCGTTCATGACACGAATGGTGGAAGCAGTAACGTGAGGATTATCCTGTCTAAAAACTACATTATTTATTTGTTAGCCGTGAAAAGATAAATTTTTATAACTGAACTCGCTTTAGCTAAGGATTAAATTAAATTTTTTAATTCCCAAAATTAAAATTTTTGTTTGCGTTTAATTAAAAATATATTTATAGCTGGTTCGGAACATTCTTCAAGAGGTGGAGACAGCGGTAGCCGACCACCTCCGCCTCTACCACCACCAAGATTTCCAAACAGCGCCGTTTGACAATGGGAAGGATTCAGCGCCGTAGCAACCTTAAATCTTCTGCCGCTTCCAGGACCACTACTTGCTCTCGAGGACCATCTTTTCGAGTTAATCTCGCAGAGGAGTAAAGCGTGTGCCACCTTCCTTCGGCACAGTTTCAAGCGGCCATACCGCAACTGACACTGCCCCCCAAAAAAATATAAGAATAAAAATATTCACGAAATTCTACGGACACTGTTATTATCATCGTTGTCGTTCTCCAAAAGATGGACGCTATTATTCTCTTTCACGCCAACAATTTGACTGTTTTTACAAAGAAAAAGACATTAAAAATTTCGCCTTGTTTCAAAAAAATAAATAATAAGAACTTTACCAACTCAAGAAAAAAGAAAGAAATAAATTAAATAATAAGTATTTATAATCGAACTCATTCTTCTTCCACGTTTGACTGTAGGAAAAAAATCGGCCTTAGAAATCGAAAATCAAGTGTATGTTTAAATCATTTTTATTTAGTTTTTCGTTATTAGTGAAAAAATGCGGGGTTGGACATTTTTGATGCAATCCACAGAAGAAGACATTCAAAACGATACTCGAAATCGGTATAACGTAAAATAATCGTAGTTACTATTAATTTTCTTTTATTTTAACATTTTTTCCATATGGCATGAGTATGAATCTTCTTATTTATAGTAAGTTTTGATGCACATTTAAGCAAAAAATTATTAAAAAAAAAATAATAAGAAAAAATGGATTTTTTTGAGTTAAAAATAAATTGTTAGTTTATAAGGAGTGAATGGATGTTACAAAAGATATCTCGACTAAAAAAACGCATGTTTTGTACAGGACGAGATAAATTCTGACGAGTTCACTGCCATTTTTTGTGTTTCATACGAACAGTTGAATAAGAAAAATGTTGAAATGTTTAGTTGATAAGAAATTGAACGGAAAAGGGAGCATTTTATTTATTGAAAATGAAACTCGTGGAGCAAACTCTCCAACAACAAGTAGCGTTTTCAACTTATTTTTCTCACCAGTGTCTTTATTATTTATAAAGATCAAAATATTGGTTTTGTCTTTCCAACATATTGATATTAATAAGTTAAAGTTATAAAAAGTTATGACAAATATATAAATAAAATAAGAATTAATATGAGATAGCTAAAAGTATTTTCAAACCAACCTAAATTCTTTCTATTGCAAGATTGTAAAAGGAGGGTTGTATTGAATAACATTAAAAGTTGATATGACGTAAAAGATGATAATTTCAAGATCATAATATTCTAATTTAATTTAAATTGAGGTTACATGTATTATTTTAGTTTGTCAGAAAGGATATTGAAACGTTTTAATTATTTCACCTCTTCTGACAGGTTATTAACAATTTCAGCGGTGTACCCGTATTTCTCGTTATCGGTTGGATATGAAACTCTGTTCGTGCTTGCATTGTGTATGTCAGAGATTCTAACAAGTTCCTCTTGAATGTTATGTTCTATTTTTCTATTCCAATATTACAAATGTAAGCTGTGTAAACTTACTCTGTCTGACATAGTTTATCATGATATATCATCATTTTCAGGAATTTATTTGTGCACAAACAATTTATAAGTTCTATTAGCGTAGAAATATCGTATTTTAACAAATTCCATATTTTCACAATAACAATGATGTTATTATTGGTAATAATGGAAGGGTATCACGGATATAACCACTGAACTATTCAATAATCTTAATTATCTACTGTCTGCCTCATCTCGCTTTGAAGTTATATGTTATCATATCAAGTTGGTAAACATCCGCTAGCTATGAAATCGTATATGAGGGCAAGCTAGTGATCTTGGTAAAGGCTACAACATCAGGCTATCTGCATGTTGGGTAAGAGCCAGGTGGAGGACGACATCAAAAACTTTGACATCGTTCATTGGAGAACGATATCTTGTAACAGATCCGAATAGTGGAAGATGTTGGAACAGGCCAAGACTCACAAGTCCATTTGTCTATTTCTGCTTCCTTTAATGTATGTGGTTAAAATCACATATTTATTATTATCTTCTGCTTTTTCATATACACAACATAATGCTCAATCAACACCGATGTACGGATAACTCAAACATCAAGCAACCAATCACTATAATCGAATCTCCTTTCATAAACACTCCTAAGTAATTCATCTCTCCTACAAGTACTCGTTATCTTGAGAATTTTTGAATATTGTACCACCAAAACATACAGATGTGGTTTGGCAGAACATCCCATTTGGCAAGCATACTGATGATACATAGACGAACACATTGTAATGACGTCACTTTCTAAAACCATGAAGAGCTCCAAATCCCACTGGCACTGTATACACCCTTACAAAATCTCTTCTAAGGTTTTGAGCAGAATTACTATCAGACTAATATGACGGAAAGGGTGTTGATATTTCCATCCAGCATTTAGCCCAAAAATTAACTTTGCAATCGCCTACTCGCATAATTAATCTTTATGCGTTGCTCATCATCAAGTTTACTGGACCCCTAGTCTATAGAGCAGATCTAACGAGACTATAACATCTTAGTCAGGAAGTTTATTGATCCTAGGGCGAGAAGCTGTTGAAAATAAACCAAAAGCAACTGTTAAAATGATTCAAGTTATTTACAAATTTAAGTTAAATTAAAATATACAACTTGTTTAATATTTCGTCAGGATTAATATTTGATAAGGAACAGTGAGTCATTTCGCTGTTTCTAACTCAACAACATTGTCATCTGAGGTTTATTCTCCTTCGTTTCGTTATAACATTAAATGAGAATAACTAATACAAAAACTGATTATATCAGAATAAATAAATCTTAACTTTTCTTTAGGTTCGGTGATCAAAATATATCAATATAAGAAATCTTGAGATAATACCAGCATCACTAACACAACCAACCTTTGAACCACCAAGTATTGTACAAGCCTTTGTACCATTAAAATAGGAAAATTATTTGTAAAACCTGCTTTTTTACACTGTCGGTGTGGAATGTTGTTTCTTCATTTAATGCCTTTTCTTATCAACCTATAAGCCGGTGCAGCCTTAATGGAACAAGAAATGTATGTTGTGAAAGTTCGATTGGGCGGACTCACGTTCGTAAATTACTTCTGATGATAATAAAAGTGAAATTTCTTGCTGTTAGGTTGCAAAATGTTTCAAAGGCATATAGCATAAAGAAAATTAATTTATAAAACAGCCCATGTGTCGAGCCATATTATGTTACTATTAGAAAATGCCCACAAACATGGTAGAACATGTTTTTAATTCCTTTCTCTCGTTCTCCTTCCTCTTGTTTTGGTCATTACAATTTCTATTACTGATTCTAGAAATATACTTTAGGCCTTCGGGAACCCCTAAAGATGTTCAAACAGTAGTTAAGTAGTACCAAACAGCAGTACCTTGTAATAATCATAGTGTCGACGTCGTTATTTTCCCTATTATATGTGCATGATTAAATGTGATTACTCATCGTATTCCAAATGGTACGCATACTATACAAATGTTTAATTTGCTTGAATAATCGGCTGAACAAGAAAAATAATCCATTAGTCGTTAAATGAAATACTGTATGTTTTTTTTGTATCTGCCTATGTCAAGAAACAAATTTAATAATAAAAAAGGAGTTCTGATTCTAACAATAATGGACAAGCTAAACTATTGGATATGCTCAATAATGATCTTTTGCAATGAGGATGTTATTTGTGACAAAAATTACCTTGTACGACGGAAATAAGTGTTAGTAAATAAAGGTACGAATCAGAATGCAGAAAGTAGATGGCTTAAGAGCTTGTTGCAGGGGTTTAAGGTAGTTCTATGAGATGTGTACATAAAGTTCTTAAGTGTTTGCCAAAGTTGGAATTAGGTTTAATTTTGTGTCCAAAAGAACCTATTACTTCAGCTTAGAAGTGCTCTCAGTTTCTTCTGTCTAGATAGCCTCAAGCTTTCTCTATTATTTTATGTCTATTATTTATTTATAAAAAGTTTAGTTGAACATTTTTGAACGAGCATCTTGCTTTGTTTTGTTTAAAATTACTAATGGATGTTTCTCTTGAATCAGGGATTATTGGGTTGACACGAATCTCCATTTTACGACTCATGTCATTGCTTGTATGAAGAAAGCTTATAAAGCTTTATGGTACTAACATCTACGCCGAATATAGTTGATACTGATGTATAGTATAATATAGCTTTTAAAAGCGTCTGTATCAAACAAAGTTCATCACCAGACATCAGCAACGTATTGGAGAAAATGCAAAATAATTGAGTCCTGATTTTGACTTTGATTCTTTAGTTTTTTCTTTAGAAGATTATTGTTGATTTATTACCTATTATAACAATAAGTTAAACAGAGTGGTACTTCTGAACCCTTGCTGATGGTGAAGAATATCTACAAAGCTTTATGTTCGCGCTTTTATTACGTTGCACAATTGATTATAAATTAGAGGAAAAGCGATAAAAAAGGAAAGTTCGGCTACCATCGATCTCACTCATGATGGGTTTGTCCAATTTCATTAGTAGTTCATTAGTTCCATGCCCAATCTGCACATGAATGCAAAAGCAATTAGTTACCTTACTTTTAAATTTTGACTATTGCCTTATTTCGCTTGCATCGACAATTTCGTATATATCATTTTCTGCTCCTCAGATTTGTTAAGGCAACCTCACCTATGCGACAAATTGTGTACATATAATCTTATCGTTTTAAGTTTGAAATTGCGATTATTTACTGCTTAGGTAGAAACAAACATATATGGTAACACATATTCCACACTTTACTTTAAATCTTTTTTCTGTTCTCAGATTATAATTTAAGAATTTAAAAGATTCGATTTCGTCGCACGTTACCAAGACATATATCCCCTTTTTTAGAAGCATTAAATGATTGTGCAGTAGTTATCGATGTATGTTGTTAATTTTGCATTGCAGAAATACAATGTTTGCTGAGACTGCAAGACCAGGTTCATTGTATAATTTAGTTTCGCTAGCTACTTGCTCAGTTTGTTAGGAATCAATTTCAAAACTAGTAAGCAAAACCTGGGATACCTGCTGTGCCTTAATTTGTTTAACAAATTTATCCATTTACTGACATCTTTATATGAAATACTAGAAAACTCTGTGTTCCGTTGCTGAATCAATCAAGTGTCGCACTTTATATAATCGGCCATGGTTTGATGATCCTTTGAAATGCAAAACTCCAGTATACCGTAAGAGGTTGTGTGTTGTGCTATACAGCATTTGTAAAGCCATGAATTTGGAAAAAGATTCAGTAATATCATTTCACTCAGTATTTTTTTTTGGTTCTCTATTAGATGCTCAATTTCTTCAACTGCTTTTACTTGCATCAACTGATGCTTCAATTTCATCTACACATTCTAACCAATTATTAACAATATCTTCCAGTTCACTTTATCATTAAGTGTTTTTCAAACAAAAAGAAGGTCTCAATACAAAATTTTGCGCATATTGTTTAGTAGTAAGATTTTAGGAATAGTGTACACCTGAAAAGGATGCGAAATGTTGACGGAAAATACTTTTTCTAATTTTTTTAATATTATTGTCATAATATTGGTGAGTAAAATATGTAAATAAAATTTGTTGGGGTTGGTTTGTTATCACACGGGTTAAAATAAAATGATTCTTGTTGATGGGACGCTGATAAACATCTTTTTTAT